CAAGGTCCCGTTCACTGGGGACAAGTGCCTCCGCGTGAAAGGGCAAAATGGGCCACAATCTCGGTCGGTCTTTCCAGGTGGTCAACCTCCTGAAGACCACGATGACTTGCACGGCCTACGCCCTGGTGATTGGCAAGAACAGCGCGGACGTGTGGACGGCTTTGGATGTCCACGGCAGCTGGTTTGTCACAGCCCGACGCTTGTTTAGCCAGGTGCTTTCAGAAATCGCAGGGGTTGGCCACTGAATTTCCATAGAGCGGGGACGAGGATATCTTGAACTCGGCCAAAGTGGAGAAGAGCGCCGCAAGGGGGTAGGTGTGGGGAGTGTGTGGGGAGGAATGAAAAAATACAGCATGATATAGGCTTAGTCCCGAGTGGGGCACCAGGCAAGTGGACTGGACAATTTTTTGCGACAAACACGCCGCGCAATCAACCACAATGGGGGCTGTGATGAAAAGCGGCGAGTGTGTGAGTGTAGTGTGTTTTCTCCAGGGCCTGTCGCAAATGCGGCAAATTCTGACAGCGAAATGAGTTCAAGTGCACGCACCACTTTTGCATAACCAAAAGAAAACCGCAGCATGCGCAAACATGTTTCTGGGAGCCGAGGAGGGAGTTTCCTGACGGTCTTGGTGGTGATTCTGTTGCCCCTCTGCCTGCTGCGGGACTTGTCCAAGCTGGCCTTCTCCAGTTTTTTCGGCCTCGCCTGTGCCGCTGAGAGCAGTGGTGGGAGTCGCCCTGGGGCCGACGTGGGTGGAACAAAACCCGCACCGCCCTGGGGTGGAGCAAAAAGCCGTTTGCAGGGCATTGGTGGGGAGAAGGGTTATGAATGATTGAATGGATGAAAAACCAAGTGGCTTGAAGCAAGCGCCCACGAAGAGCCGATCGAGGAAGATTTTGCGCGGTAGGCCTTCCCTTATTCGGAAAATGGTCGACGCCACGGAAACCAAAACCTTCTAAGCCCAGGAAGCGGGTGTGGTGGTCTTCATGATCGTCCGCTTGGTGACGGGCGAATATGCGCCGGGAGGCGAGTTCTACAACAGCCAGGTGAGGGACGAGGTGTTCATCCGACAGTTCTTCGTTGGGCGGACCGCGCGAAGACCAGGGAGGGCATCACTATCACCACTGAGCACCTAATGGATCCCGATGGGTCCTTCCCACGACCCCCTAGGGAGGTGAACTCAAGGTTAGGGGCAAGGGAGTTCCAAGCACCTACTTTTTGGCCCCCCCAAAAAACTAATCCCATGGTCGTGGCTGCACGGCACGAAGCAACATGCCTCCCTCGCCTCGGCTTCCGGTTTCGTGCGTGGCCGACGCGGAGGAGCCGGGCACCCAACTCAGTTGGGGCGACGGCGACGGCCCCGAGATCCTCGCTTTCGACTGGAGCGTCTTCGTGCTGATGCTCGGCTGTGTGGGTCGACACGGCGCGAAACCCTCATGGAGGAAGCATGGAGGGTGGGAGGCAGCGGAAGATGGTTCGACTGGGGGTCCTTTTGGAGGGCATCATTCATTGGGGAAGACCTTTTCTCAGTGATGAGTGTCATGATGGTGTACGGTGTGCTCCCTGTCCTCCATGTCCGCCTTCTTTTCTGCTGTCGAAATCCGGACGTCCGGTTGCAAGGTGCTAGGTCGCATCCAGTCCCCGTGTTTCCTCGCTGAGAGTTTAGGGATGTCACTCATGGAGTTGCCCACCATCATTGAGACTTGTCCATGAATCCATGACCGCATGTTCACACCGCAGACAGGGCGGGATCGAGGATCGATCGCGCGAGCCCCAAAGCGTGTCGTGCGTTGCCGGTTGATGGCAGTTGTTGGTCGCTAGTTGACAGCGACAAATCGAGAAGTGTACGACATTGAGTTTGTTGGTTGTTGAGTGCCCACTTACCAAGTTCATGGTAGCGGAGCATGTGGGAAGAAGAGGGCTCCATCGCTTTTTGGCATGAAAAAAAGGACTTGGGTTCCCGGCCCGCAAATCTTTGAGCTTCACATGTTTTTTGAATACATTCTTCATGCATCTTCATGCGGGACGGTGACCCCCTGTCCAATGTTTGGCCACTCCAAGTCCTAGCTGCACTGGACAGTTGGTTTTTGTTGCATTTCAATGGCGTGCCAAGCTAAGCGGAACTTAGAGTTTCTTCTTCTTTATTTTTCCTGGTCACTTGGTGCCATTTGATGTGCATCAACCCTTTGTCCGGTCTCGACCCCCTTGTCCCTCGTGTTGGTTTGTGGTAATCGGGTCGCGAGGATCGGGAGCATGTCGACGGCCTTTCTGGCGCACTACAACGCGCCCAAGAGCCATGGTGGAGATTTGGGAGATTTTCGGAGCGTAGAGGATCTAGACTCGAACTACAACTGCTCAGGCTGTTTCAGAGAAATCCATTGGAGCACACCTCTGAACTGAGGGGCGCTGTCAGATAGATCAGTAAAGAAGTTGGAACCACGGAGTCTGCATCTTGAGTCTTGAAGCAAAATCGAACGAACACACACACACACACACGCACGCACGCACGCACACGCACACACACGCACACAAACACATATTGCGTGTGATACTCTTCGCTTGAAGGGCAATTCGACAGCTTATGGTCCTTATCTTTTTGCATGTGAGGCAGACGGGCCGCAATCAATTCCTACTCTACCTGGGTTGTGGATCATGGCGCCAGGATACCTTTGTTGACCAACCTGGAAGGTGGAAGGTCGTTCGCGGCAAACGGCAAATGGTGGACTGTTTCTCGGGGTCCAAGTTGCCCATTCCAAATTTTGGATCACCAACCACCCAAATGATGTTAAAAACCCAGAGGTCACTTATTGTGGGGGGCTCTAGCGGCTCTAGGTCTAGGTCGCTGTGCGTGTTTTTTAGTGAGGTTCTACCACCAGTTGCGCCGACGGAGTTCGCGCAGCTTCCTCCGGGCGGGGGGCTGCGCGAGCATCGCCCGGCCCGAGCCGGGGCGTGGTCACTGGTGACGGTCAGCGACGGGCTCGTGGTCATTGGGGAACCCGGGCCGAACTTCCTTGCCTTGAAACTTCAAGGGGGTGATTGATTGATCTTTGCCTGAATCTTTCGAAGGTTGGAAGGTTTTGGTTTTGTGGGTCAGGTTTTGACTCGGCCATGTGACAAATGGCACTCACGTGTGTATTGTGAGAGCCTTGAGCCAGCCAAGTTGGCCGAGGTGGCAGCTGAGTGCGGTTCAAAAGGGGGAAGATTGATTTCAATTTTCCAGCCGTTATATAGTGACTTCAAGGTAGATGGCTCAAGTGCTTCCTAATTCCGGATTCTCCTCTAAAGTCTTCAGGTAACATGGTTGTCCATGCAACCTTTCGTTGGCTGGAGCTTGTTCTTGATTTGCTTGGCTGGAGCTTGTTCTTGCGCTCCCCTTGAAAATTCCCCCGTCTAACGGGGAAAACGTGCGGATTCCTCCATGAGTCCAGGCCACTGCTGGGGGCTATAGCATCGCCGTGCTCCTCTTTGCGACCTGCATGAT